AATGTGATCAAAGATTCGTTGTGGCCTTTGTCATTCCAGACCAACGGTGCTCTAACCACTGAGTTGTACTTAGCAAGTATTTGAAATGGTGTTAGGTGTTGCTTAGTTTTTCGTCAAAGGTCAAATGTCTATTCACATGCACTTCTGCCTCATATCGCGCTTTTTATTATTCTCTGGCATTATTGTTATTTTTGTCATCATCACCTGAGACTAACAGGATAAATGAGAGGGTAACCGAGATTGACGAGATCTGACAGTTGGATGTTTCTGCTGGTAAGAATTTTTTTAACCACAATGTTGCTGGATGTAAACCGTTCGTCGCACAAACCTCGTAAATAGAACACGCAACGGCTGATCGTCACGAACAGTGGAGCAGTGTGGCGTATGGTTGGCCGATGAACAACTTCCATAAGCAAGAGACTTTGATGAAATTAAAAAAAACCGTTGACAGCGGTCTGTTTATAATGCGCAGAACTGTGGAAAGTAAGTGAAGTTGAGTGAGGGTATGTTACTTGTTCTAGTCTAGTAATTTGTACCCTTCATACTCCACTTCTGGGGCGGGCGCCGTTAGCACGAAAACAAAGCGATCGGCAGCAAGCACCTTAATCTAAAAGACGATTGGTCCATGGGCGCTTGCAATCCTTCAGGAGCTGTCTGAGTCAGCAGTTTGATAGAAAGTTAGCAGATTCCCTGATTACTTTTGCCACTCATTTGCAAATTAGTGTAAACGTGATTTGTACGTTGGTTATTTGGCATATCACAGTACCCATATAATGGACCGAGAAAGGCTATCACAAATTCAATGGTTTTACAGTTTCATCTTGTCTCTGTTGGTTCAGAAAAGTCAGCAATGTCAAACCATTCGCCACCAGTCTTCATAGGCGCGAATGAATTCATAATCTACGGATATGTAATGCCAACTAATCGTATTTTTTATGAAGAACAGTTCAGCCGTGTCTTCCACTTCTCTTTGTCATTCGGTTGTTTATAAAGCAAATTTATTGACAACGTATGACGTATCGAATATACCAGAATATTCCAGTAATGCTCGAAAATGTTTTTCATTCGCTTTGTTCTTTTAGTGACGTTTACCGCAACCCGTTCTGTAAGTTGTGCCGAAAGAGAAACGGCGCTTTTAAGGTGGGTCAATTTCGTTCTGAAGCCACGCTTGTTCGACTGTAACGATGACGACTCACGGACACGTAACTGTTTTTAAATTTTACTGTTTGATACATCAGATTCATTTCGTCATCGTTTTTTAGCCAGCGCCAGTGAACTGTTATCTGAAATGACAACAGCCGAAGATGCATCCTCGTCGACGGAAGCACAACGTCGCTTCTCGTCAATCCTCTGGATTACTGAAAGCACCTTAAACACCGTTAGGGCGAAGGCCTTCCGGCTAGCCGCAAAACTTCAGCCGATGTTCGCAAAAATTTGGGGTCTCATTGACAGCGAAAAGTTGGTCATCCGCAGGGATGTAAAAATTCAATCAGACGTGGGTACGTCGCTCAGAAAGGAAATTTATTACTATTAATGTCTCTTGTTTTGTGTCTGTGCATAACTGAAAATTGTTTTGTCGCGGAGGTAAGCATAAATTACAAATTTTCATGGCTGTTCACTAGCTTTAGTTGCGATATTACAGTGACGGTATTTTTATTGGCCAAATTTCAATCTTCTGCAGGCCAGACTAATATTTTGCTGTAT